GGAGCCCCTCGCAGCCTGGGCTCCTGCCCAATCATTTCCCTTCATTTTTGGGGTCGGCCAGTCCTCGCCCTTGAAGGTGGGAGCTGGTGGTTGCCGCTGATGAGGACAGACCTGGTGAGGCAAGATGGTTCCTTTGCCTGAGGTCGGCTCTGTCCCTCTCCCCCACCCTCCAGCAGCACTTTGGAGGATGGACAGGTTAGTGCTGAGCCTGTGAGCAGCGGGGGAACCTCTACAAGGCCCCGAGCCAGGCTGCACCTGCACGCCGCCCCCTGTGGCTCAGTGCCACAAATGGGCACTCAAACTGCACCAGACCCAGGCCACGGCTCTGAGCTCGGCAAGGAGGCCAGGTGGGAAGAGTGGGAGGCACAGCTGGCGAACAGCAGCAAAGCAGCTGTGGGTCCATGGGCAGCCGGCAGGGCTGGCAGAGGGAACACTCTGGGAAAACAAGGCCATGGCAGCAAAGCTAAATGAATTTCTTTGTACCGGTCTGTGCGGATTGCCCCATCCCGGGTTGATCCACAGAGATCTGGTGTCAGCAGATTTGATACGTCACTTCACCCAGCTGGGATGAAACAGCTCAGGAAATTACAGATCTATGTCCTGTAACCTACCAGCTAACACCCTCTGGGCCAGACAGCTAGGAGCAGGAAGTCTGGATAGAGCACTCTTCCTCTGACTTCCCTCACTCCTCATGCCATGAGGGTCACAGGAGTTAGAGTAAGAAGTCCTCCAGCTCGACAGTATTTTGAGGTGGCAAAATAACTGCTTGTTGTGTAGATGCAGACTCTGTTATTCTGAAATAACACTGCTGTGCAGACGTACCCTGGGGGTGAGATGCCGATTTTTTTCAAAGGGCTTTAGAGGTGATCCTGGCAATTTCGAGCCAGTATGTCTGGCTTCAGTACCAGGCAAACTGGCCAAAACACCAGCAAAGAACAGAATTGTCTGACACAGCGAGGGACCCGGTTAGTTGGGAAAACGTCAATGTGGATTCTGTAAAGGGAAATCAGGCCTCTCCAGTCTACTAGAGTACTTTGAGGGGGTCAACAAGCATGTGGACAAGGGGGATCCAGTGGCTATAATGTATTTTAGCTTTCCAGAAAGCCTTTGCCAAGGTCCCTCACCAAAGGCTCTTAAGCAAAGTGACTTGTCATGGGATAAGAGAGAAGGGCCTCCCATAGGTTGATAACTGGTTAAAAGATAGGGAAACAGGGCAGGAATAAATGGTTATTTTCAGAATGGAGAGAGGTAACAAGTGGTGTCCTGCAGGTGTCTGTACTAGGACCAAGCCTGTTCAACATATTCATAAATGACCTGGAGAAAGGGATAAACAAAATTTGCAGCTGATACTAAACTGCTCAGGATAGTTAAGACCGAAGCAGACTGTGAAGAGTTTCAAAATAATCTCACACAACTAAGCGACTGGGGAACAAAATGGCTAATGAAATTTAATGTTGATAAATGTAAAGTAATACACATTGGAAAACATAAATCCAACTATACATATACAATGATGGGGACTAAATTAGCTGTTATGCCTCAAAAGGGAGAGATCTTGGAGTCATTGTGGATAGTTCTCTGAAAACATCCACTCAGTGTATGGCAGCAACTGAAAAGGTGAACAGACATGGGCATGGTTAGGAAAGGTAACATGACAGAAAATATTGTATTGCCTCTGAATAAATGCATTGGTTGCCCATGTCTCAAACCCTGCCTACACAAAAATGAGTGCAATTAGGAGGCTGCAGATTTGAAATGATGAGGAAGTGCTTTGTCACATAGCATCCCGTTCACTTGTGGAACTCCTTGCCACAGGATGTTGAGGTTAAAAGTCTAACAGGGCTCCAGAGACAATTCGCTGAGTTAAATGAGGCTAGGTCCTGCAATAGCTGCTAGCCAAAATGACCAGAGATGCAGCCCATATGCGAGGTGTCCCTGACCGGCAGGAGCTGGGCGTGGGCAGCAGGGGATGGATCACATGATTGTTGCCCTGTGCTGTTCATTCGTCCTGGGGCACCTGGCCCTGGCAGCAGATGGGATTTTGGGCTAGATGGACTATTAGGGTATGTCTAGATTGTCGGCAGAGGGATGCAGATTAGGCAGGTTGACATTGCAAACGAGGCAGGGATTTAACTATCCCGTGCCTAATTTGCATAAAAATGGCTGCCACGTTTTGCTGACTCAGTACTTTGTCAGCAAAAAGTGGCAGTCTAGAGTGGGATCTGTTGAGAAAGAAAGCCTTTTGCAACAGATCCTGTAAACCTCCTTGCAGGAGGCATAAGGGATCTGTCGAAAAAGGCTTTCTTTCTCCACAGATCCCCCTCTAGACTGGGACTTTTTGCCGACAAAGTGCTGAGTCGGCAAAACGCAGCAGCCATTTTTATGCAAATTAGGCACAGGATATTTAAATCCCTAACTCGTTTGCAATGTCGACCTGCCTAATCTGCATCCCTCTGCCAACAGAGGGATGCAGTCTAGACACCCTCTCTCTGACCCAGTCAGGCCTAGGGTTAAGGATGTAAAATCCCTTTTAATTGGTTAACCAGTTAAATGGGGGGCAGGCGGGGAACTGCTTCAGCCCCTACAGCTTAACCAGAACCAGTAAGCATCACCCATGAAGGTTAACCTTAACTGGTAACCTTTCGCATCCCTGCCTCGGAGGCCAGGGGAGCACAATCAGGGCTGGGGGAGCCCAGGGCAGGGCTGGCAGGGGCTGCAGGTCGGGAGGGGGGCACGGGCAGGGCTGGGCTGGCAGGGGCTGCGGGTCGGGAGGGGGGCACGGGCAGGGCTGGGCTGGCAGGGGGCGGGGGGTGGGGGGGGGGCACCGGCAGGGGC